AATCGAAGTTAACTGATAAAATACCCGGTAAATACAGTAAAATAAGACGAATCATGAAATTCTTGTCGGTCTCGTGAAATAAAGGATTGAAAAATTTTTAAATTTTTATCTCAACTTTAGAATTCAAAATTGGGTACATACGTTTAAACGTTATGGGTACAGACCATTTTAAGAAGTTGAATGATGTCGAAAAAAAAAATTTCAGCGAACAAATGAGTATAGAAATTGCAAAATGTATTCCAGTTGACAGACAAAGAATAACTTATTTAAATCATTTTGTTAATTATAAAGAAAATGCGGATTTTATTACATTTAAAATAAATCCCCCAAATGAAAATAATTTTAACAAAAAAAGTTCAAAAGAAGTCTTTGAGGATTTTAATAAATTATTTGATGTTAATGGCTATACGACAGCGTTGGATATTTATAATAATACACAGTTTATCGATAAAAAATTTGGATTTCATCAAATAAGTAAGTATAAATTTTATATAAATCCCTTTCTTTTTAACTTAACGTTAATGATTATATATACATTCACGATCGCTTGTTTTTAGCTAAACGATGGGAGGAGATTAAAGGAATTGTGCAAGACTACATTAATCCAACAACTATCGTACTTTTCGTAATATCCGCTTTCCTGTTGACTGGCTTGTATTTGTTTGGTCGATATAAAAATCCAATGGTACGTTTTGATATAGATTTTTACGAATTTGTAAAATAACAATTCCTTTAATTAAACTTTTTTCACAGGGATTCAATATAATCGTGTTTAAAGCTGCTCTTATTATTTTCGATATTGTAGTTGATATAAATTTTATTGTAAAAAATAAAGAAGATTTGCAAAAGTTATTAATTCCAAGGTAATTAATAATATTAATTATTCAAATTATAAATATAATGAAATATTATTAATCTAACTAATTTTTTTGTAGCATAGTGTTTAATATTTTTCCAATTATTATAAATATATGCTTAGCTTTTTACATATTCATATTTGAGACAAGAAAGAATCCAAAATTTGCCGATTGGTTTAGAGAGAATTCGAAATTAGCCGCGATAATTACACTATTTAGTTCGGGAAATGTTGAATTACTTCATCTGCTTGATTCCAACTTTGCAGGTTATAAATTATTTTCTGCTCCATTTTCTTCAAAAGCATTACGTTGGATATTTTGGGGTGGTTTTTCGAATATTTTTATTGAAGACTTACCACAACTAATAATTCAGGTGAGATTTTAGAGGTGGGATTTTTCTCCATAACTTTAATTTTTACTTATTATATTTATTTAATTTTATAGATAATATATGCCACAACTCTTAATACAGAATATAATATATATGCTTTATCAGCTTTGGTTACAGGATCAGTAATATTATTAATAAATATTATCGGTTTTATTTATGATTTTATTGCAAAGAAACAGTTTGCTAAAATTATATAAATAGAGTGGATTGCGAATATATATATTAACAACGTAACTGGAATGAATGAACATCGGGACTGTTGGATTTAGTTTCATTAATTATTAAACTACTTTATAATATCATTCAATATATGTTCTATTATATGAATATTAAATAAAATAGATTTAAAATAAATAAAATATATGAGTTATCATTTTTGATATTGGACTGTTTTTTTCATTCGTTTTATTTTGCACAAAATTGGCTCAAGAACCAAAATTAGATTAAAAAGAAATTACGGATTTCCCGCTTTTTAACTGACGCCCTCAGGAATTGTTGATCATGTCGATCAACTGGTTTACTTTAATTTTTATTGTTTTGCGCGCAGAAAATTTTTGAATAAAGAAAACCAGGTAGAATCTGGTTATTAATTGCCCACAATTTTAGGAGGTTTGTTTTAAAACTTACAATGCGATTGTATCTAAAATCTGAAAACCAAGGAATTATTTTTCAAAATGATTTATTTGATAAATTGCCGCAACTTAATGGGCGTTTGGCAATAGAGAGGGCGGAACTCCGGTAAATATAATTTGGAGATACAGTAATTGTAATTGTGTTTCACTATTAATACAGGTTGTGAAAAACCTGATTAACTGGTTGACTCACTCAGTCTTGGCCGGTGAGTGAAAAACGTCTTCCCTCAGGAATATACTGCTCCTATATTGCCAAGTTGCAACTAGGAGCTGCGTCTTTCTGATTATTAGACCGCGTCTTCTTTCATGGCACACATCTCTATTCTTTGTTGCGAATAATGTAAGAAGTTTTAATTTATTTAATTACGTAACGCTAATATATTTCTCTATATATAAGTTCGAGAAGACACCCTCAGTTATAGTATCTTAATGGTTATCGAATGAAATCACGCTTATCAAGTTTTGTCTATAGATTCTTATTTTATAGCGAATTTAGCTTAACAATGTTTCGCAAAATATACGTAAAATGCAGTATCAAAGATCAGAAATTTTCAAGTGGGACCTTTGCAATAAAAATGGGAGAAACAGCTGGAAAAAATCAATTTTAATTTTATATACCAAATATGATTTTTAGTCAAAAAATGTTCAGATTTAGCATTAGATTATTTTTTAATTTTTTCCAGACGTTTCCCTATTGCAAAGTCCCAAGTTATTACAACAGAGACGAAAAGAGGATGGAACCGGTTAAAATTTTTTTTAACCGGTTAAAATAGATGGCTCATACCAAATTTATAGACTGGCCTAAGTTAATTTATATTTATTTATTACAATAAATACGTATAATATATTTAATATTTAGTATGATCTCAATATTTTTTTTATGTTAAAAAAAATATACAAATATATTTTCTGAAAAAGTTGTGATTTATAAGCTTTGTTCTAATAGAAAATCCAAATTTTTCTTAATAAAAGAATTAGTATAATAAAATATTTGTTCCGAAAAAAGTTAAGTGTGTGAGTTATATTGTGATATTGTTTTAATTAACTAGATTTA